GCCAAGAATTTGCATCTGTTATACCAGCCTTGCATCCCTGGGATGAAGCCTACTTGATCGTGATGTATGAATTTTTAAATGATAAGCTGTAAAGTATTGGCTAGGATTTTATTGAGAAATTTTGCACTCATAGTCATTAATGACATTGGTCTGTAGTTCTCCTTTTTAGTAGGATCTTTTCCTGGTTTTGGTATCAGTCTGATATTTGCTTCATAGAATCTATTGGGGAAGAGTCCTTCCTCCTCAATTTTTTGGAATAATTTCTGCAATATGGTATAATTTCTTCTTTGAAGGATGATAGAATTCTGGTGTGAAGCCATCTGGACCAGGGCATTTTTTTTGTTGGGAGATTTTTTATAGTTTATTTTATCTCAGTGCTTGAAATTGGTCTGTTCAGAAAATCTATTCTTCTTGATTAAGACTAGGGAGAGAGTGTAATTCCAATTATTGATCTATAACCTTCACATTGTCAAATTTCTGGGCATAGAGTTCTTGTAGTATTCAGAGATAATCTGTTGTTGTTTCCCCTTTATGATTCCTGATTGAGGTTACTAGAGATTTTACCTTTCTGTTTCTAGTTAGTCTGGCTAAAGGTTTATCTATTTTATTTACTTTTTTAAAAAACCAACATTCTGTTTTGTTAATTTTCAATGATTTTTTTTTGGTTTAGTTTCATTTTTTTCAATTTACTCAATCTCTGACTTAATTTTGGCTATTTTTTATCTTCTGCTGGGTTTAGGGTTAGATTGTTCTTTTTCCAATTCCATAAGATGGTTTGTGATTGTGCTGATGTGCTCACTTACCGTTTTTCAAATGTAGGTTTCTAGCATAATTAATTTTCCTCTCAGGACTGCTTATGCTGTATCCTAGAGGTTTTGGTAACTTGTGTCTTCATTGTTGTTATGTTTGAGGAAATTAACAAATTCCTCTTTTATCTCTTCCTGAACCCAACTATCATTCAGCATAATGTTGTTTAGTTTCCAAGACACTGTGCAGGGATGAACGTTTTTGTTGGAGTTGAGCTTCACCATTATATCCTTGTGATCTGAGTAGAGACATGGTATAGTTTCTGTTCCTTTAATTTTGGTGAGGTTAGATTTGTATCCTAGGATGTGATCTGTTTTGGAGTATGTGCCATGAGCCTATGAGAAAAAAGTATATTCTTTTGCTTTGGGATAGTGTGTTATCTGTATTTCTATCAATCCCATTTGTTCTAGGGTCATGTTTAGGTCCTTTGTATCCTTGTTTAGTTTCTGTTTAGAGCAGTTGTTCTCAACCTTCCTAATGCCACAACCCTTTCAAATAGTTCCTGTGGGTTGCGACTCACAGGTTGAGAACTGCTGGTTTAGAGCACATCTCCAGTTATGTTAGAGGGGGGTTGAAGTGTCTGACTATTAAGGTGTTATGGGATATTATATCGCTCAGACCTCTCATGGTGTCTTTAAAAAATTTGAGAGCATTTAAGTTAGATGCATAAGTGTTTGTATTCTTAACTAAAGTTGCTTTGAATCCACTTGTATCTGAGAATAAGATTGCAACCCCTCTTTCTGATTTACATTTGCTTGAAATATTGTTTTCCGTCCCTTAATCCTGAGTCTTGATTTGTCCTTCAGGGCAAGGTGTGTCTCCTGGAGACAGCATATGGATAGCCTGTGTTTTTTTTGTTTTTTTTTTTTTTTATCCAATCAACCAGTTTGTACCTCTTCAGTGGGGAATTCAATGCACTGACATTTATTGTTTAAGTATGTTGAAGGTGGATGGCCATGCTCTTCTGGTTTAGGAAGTTTCAGTTGAAACGTCTGCTGTCATCCTAATGGCTCTGCCCTTGTAGGTCAATTTGCACTCATTCCTAGCTGCTTGCAGAATTTTCTACTTCATCTTGACTTTGGACAGGTTTATTACAATGTGTCTTAGACAGGCTCTGTTTGAATGGATATGATCTGGGGTTCGATATCCATCTGGAAGGAGTGTCTCAGGATCTTTAGAACAACTTGAGAAGTTTTCATTAATTATACTCTTCAGTAGGGCTTCCATACCTTTGGGACAATATTCTTCCCCTTCAGGGAATTCCTATTATCTATATGTTTGAATGCTTCATGGCTTCTTATAGTTCTCTAAGTGCCTGCCCTGCTGTCTCTCTCTTCTTTTCTGACTCTGTAACTACCCATGTTAACTGAAAGACTTTATTCTCTAACTCTGATATTCTTTCTTCTCCATGGTGTAATCTATTTTTGATACTTTCTATTGCTTCTTTACATTCCCTGATTGTCTCCTTAATTTCTTTGAGCTCATCTATGTTTTCTATATTCTACATATTTCTCGTCTGACTTTTGGTTCTGTCTTTTTGTATTTTCTCATCTATTCCTTTTATTGTCTTAATCATCCATATTTTAAATTCCCTTATGTGAGATCCATTAATTCTTTATAGGATAAGTCTTCTATAAAAGCTGCCTCATGGTCCCTTGGAGGTTGCTCTATCTTGGTTCTTCATGGTGCTGCCTTTTCCTTTTGGTTCCTCCTCATGTGTGCTTTCTTCTTGTTCACTTCCCTGTGCACCTTTTTTCCTTCTCACTTCCTCCTTTGCTTCAAGTTACCTTGTTTCAGAGTTCAGGTGAGGAAGAGGTCTCTAGGTATGGGGTCAGAAGTTAGAGGAGGGTTGGAGCAACAAAGAAGAAGCAAGAGGAAAGGGGGGAAAAAGGAGGAAAAAATAAGGAAAGAGTAAGGGAATACAAAAGGAAAGTAGAAGAAATGAAAGAAAAGAAAAAGGGAATAATAGAAGAAAATTGAAAAACAGGAGAGAGGGAGGACAGGAAGGAAGGATGAGAGTGATAGAAGAAAAATGTTATTGTTTAGCATGGTGCTAAAGCCACACCTATAGCTCAAGGGTTTTGGGAGCTGTGCTCAGTGGTGTTCTCTAAATCAGGCTCTCCTTACCAGCCCAAACACAGCCAAACTCTTCCCCTGCCAAATTTAGGAACAGAAAGAAAAAGAGCAGGCACAAAAAACAAGAAGGAAAACTTGAGCAGGGATGAAAAAAAAGAATGAAAAATAGAAAAGTTCTGTAGCATGATCTTCCTAATAATTTCTTCCTGGGGCCAATGGTGGAATGTTATCCTGGCCTCCTTGTGCCAGACCATTGCTAAGGTTTACCTGCCAGATCACAGCCCTGTCAGAACCACTCTCAGCAAAGAAAAGGTGGAAAAAGAAGAAGAGAAAGAATATAAATAAATAAAAAATAAAAAATTGAAAAAAGGAGAAAAAGAAAAAATATTAAAATAAGAATAGACAAAGTAAATTAAATGCACTGTCAAATCAAATAAAGGAGAGAGACGGATGAGGAATAAAGAAATAAGATAACAAACCAAGAAGAAAGACAAAGAAGAGAGAAAAAAGGTGAGGAGAATATCTTAGCTAATGCAGAAGCACATTTTGTGGGAGAGGTGAGAAGAGCAGAAGAGTCTCTATCAACTGAGAGAATGCTGAGGAGTGAAGTAGAGAGAGAATAAATCCAACTAAAATTCTGCAACCAAAAAAAATATAGGAGCCCTTGCTCTTGTTGAATGTAAAAATGGAATTTAGGAAAAGAACCAACCAAACAACTTAGAAAAAAACAAAACACATTGAAACAAGATAATAAAAGCTCAAATAGCCTGATGTGAACAATATCAGCAACCAATAGAGGAAGGAAGGAAGAGAAAAAAAAAATAACAATGACAACTACGATATCAAAAAAAAAAAAGAAAAGAAAAGAAAGAAAATACAATAGGGTGGTGCCTGTGGCTCAAGAAGTAGGGTGCCGGTCCTATATGCTGAGGGTGGAGTTTCAAGCCCAGCCCTGGCCAAAAACTGCAATAACAAAGTAATACAACAACAACAAAAAATATTTATATTAAACATATATATAACATAGGGATCCGACTTCAGTATGAATGTACTTATTTTGCAATATACTTGATGGACACCAGGTGGCGCTGTGAATTTGGGGGACAAACACACAGCTGTTAACCTCTCTCTGGTTTCCAGGCTTAGACCTTTTCCCCAGCTAAATTGTCCCTGGTGATCACCCGTTAATCTGCTCAGCACTCAGACTCCGCTGATCTAGGATTCCACAGCTCTCAAAAATTCTTCAGAGGCAGGTCTCATAGATTCCCCCTACAACAGTTCCCATGGAGTGTGGGAGTCCCTGGGCCTGTCCAGAATGTAGGACCCTCCTCACAGGTAGAACTCAGACTGCCATGCCTTAGGACCCCAGCCAGAGGCCCACCCTCACAGCCTTCTGGCAACCCTTATGAAAATGGTGGCTCCCTGTCCCGGAACTTTGCCCATATGGATGTCACACCTGCTGCCAAACCATGGCAGGACCATTCCAGACAGCACCCCAATCTGGCCACCAAATTCTGCTCTGGAGTACGCACTTCTCCAATCTTTCCACTCAACCCTTAGCTTCCCCCAGTAACCTAAAACTGCGAAAGGGTTCTTCTGGGACCTCTGTGGGGGTGCTGACCAATGGTGCCACCACTACTGCTAGCGTAGGCTTGCAGAAACTTGCCTAGTTTGTTGGGTCTCTGAACCTCTGGCTTGCCTTCCAAGTCCAATATTCTATCACTATGCCATACACCCTGAACTACCACTCCATGCCAATATTCCACATCGAGTATGATCCAGCCCTTTCCCGCTCCCCTGTTGCTCCAGGAGAGCTTGGCTCAACATCTTTCCCATCTGCTATCATGCTCTGCCGTTAGACTGTGTTTATTCCATTAAAAGGAATTTGGAGTGAAGAGCTCCCAAGACTTTGCATTTTGAAGTTGCAGAACTAATATCTGTATGTGTCATCATATCAGCCCTTTGTATAAATAATGACTAATATGGGAACAAGATTGTCATATGCAGTCTTTGAACCATGAATAAAAATATTTTAGTTTTCTTTTTTTCCTGATCCCAAACTCCATACACTTACATTAAAAGCAAATTCCATCTAAAGTAGTTACTGAATTCATTACCTGAGCATCGAAGGGAGTGGGCTAGTTCTGTTGCCATAACTTGTATGATCAGGCCAATTCTAAGTCGAAACATTTCAGCAAAGAGGCCAGGCTGGGTTCGCATATACATGGCTAGATATACCATGATTTCCTGTATGCAGAATGAATATAGACAAAAATTATGGTCCTGACCTCATAATGCCTAGTCATCTTTGGAAATTGACAGATGAATTAAAAACAACTTTAAAATATTATCACCAGATTAAGCTTTGCAATTCTGCTTACCTGTGTAAGGATTGAAATGCCCATGTCCCCTTCACTGGCTTCATCTATCAGCTGGGTGAGTGCTTCATAGGGCAGAGGTCTAAGGAAGAAGACAGTGAAGAAAGATGAAATTCTACAACCACTTAAACATAAATATGTTGCAAAAATAACAAATCTATTCCTAACTCTAAAGCATTAACTCAACATTTCATCATTATCAGTAGCACTCTGGTTCTTTTAGTCTTGAAAGATCACTCACTGCTTCTTCAAACCACTTTGGCCCATATCAACTCAGAAGAGCTCTGCTTTTTCCTCTCTAAACTTGGATTATTCTCTTACTTCATAATTTAACTTAAAACTCACTCCATGATCTCCTTCTAGACTAGTCTCTCACAGTTAGTTATTGAAAGTAATTATTATGGCTACAAAGTAAGAAAATAATTTTAAGTTGTACCTTTTTATTGATACATACTATTTGTACATATTTATGAGGGTACCTGTGATGTATTGTTACACAGAATATATAACGATCAAATCAGGGTATTTAGGATATACATCACCTTGAGTATTTATTGCAGTGTCCAGAACATGTCAAGTATTCTCTTCTATCTACTTAGAAATATACAATATATTGTTAACTATAGTTGCATTACTATACTATCAAACATAAAAACTTGTTCCTTTGGTTTAACTATATGCCTGTACTCATTAACCAACCTTTTTTCATCCATTCCCTACACAATGGAATACTATTTAGCTATAAAAAGCCGTGCCTTTTAGAAACCATTTTATTACTTTACAATCGCACTTACAGAGTTGTATTAATTTTCTGTAATTCCATCAGTACACACATACACACACACACAAACACACGCATATGCACACATCCTCTCATACTTCTGACCCTCCTATTCACACAAAACACTCTGGGGGCATGGATCATGCCATCTTCTTTTGGAATGCCTACAGTATCATAAAATTGATCTGATTTGTGATAAAAGTGTTCTGTTTGCCAGGAGCAAAATTTTATGGGTTGAATTGTGTCCCCCAGAATTCTTCTGTTGGAATCCTAACCCACAGTAGAATATGACCTTATTTGGAGATACAGTCTTTATAGAGGTAATTAAATTAAAGTGAAATAATTAGAGAACTAATTCTATGACTTGTGTCCTTATAAAGAGGACAAATGTGGACATACAAACATGAATAGAGAGAACATGTAGAGACATAAGGAGAAGATAGCCATCTACAAGTCAAAGACAGAGGCCTAGAACAAAGTCCTTTATGGCCTTCAGAATGCCTAACCCTAATGACACCTTGATTTTGATTTCTGGTCTCCAAAACTGTGAGAGAATAAATTTCTGTTGCAGTCCCCCAGTCTGTGTTACTTTCATAAGCCTAAGCAAACTAACACACAAGGTTAGGGCTATTTTCCTGAAAGCATAACTGGGAATTTACACATGGAAACTATGACATATGGTCTTAGGACATGTCTCTCTGAGCCTTCATATAGGGAGTTTCAACTGGATCTTAGAGGTAGCAGCAATCATTGACATAAACCCAGAAGGAAGTGGTACACAGACATCAGCAAAATTATCCCTGCTTAATTCTCCCTCATTTCTTCTTGACTAAGCTCTATATCTAGAGCATGTTTACAAAGTAAGCTTTTAACTACACTGGCTATAGAAGTATAACTGGAAGGTAGAGGGAATGCCTTGTTTCGAATTATTCCCTAGTAGAAAAACAGATTTTTTTGGATCACTTATAAATGCAGTTAGAATCTCTTTAAAAATATTTCTTGGAAATACACCATGTTTACAAATTTGAATTTTGTCACTGGTAAGACATGAAATTAAACAGAGTTCCTGCAGATGAGTTTCGTTAGCATGGCTAATGCAAAAGGAAAACTAATACATAAAAATTAAATGTTCTGGGCTGTGCCTGTGGCTCAAAGGAGTAGGGCGCCAGCCCCATATGCAGGAGGTGGCGGGTTCAAATCCACCCCCAGCAAAAAGAATAAAAAAAATTAAATGTTCCATCCCAGCCTGTCACTTGACTCTCCTTTCCTTCCAGCACAAGCTTATCCTAGGGTACTGGTTCCGTTTGTAAGCTGTGGCAAACCTGAGACAATGGCAAGCTGATTATAGCTTTATGCTCTGTAAATGCCCAGTTTACCCTCCTTGACTATGACTCTACCACCTTTATTCCTTCTTGAGCACCGTGGGGTTTCATCATCAGACCTATGCTCAAGTCAGACACTTTTTTCCTCTTCTTTCTGGTGTATGGCTGACATTTTGTGTGTACCAATTCCAGGTGCACTGTTAAGTTTGGTTTTTGAATGGGAGGGTTAGAAAAATCCAATAAATAAGAAAAGCTTGAGCACTACTCCCTGTGAATTTTCTCTTTTGTTCACTCACACCTTGTCATTACCAACATTCTCCCACTGTTTCTGGTAGAAGGGCACATATATAGGACATTGCCACCCATAAACCGATTAGGGCAAGAGAATTGTGGTAAGTCCACACAGCTCCTTAAAGGCTCAGAGAAAATAGATCAAACTCAACCATACTCACGCGGCGATTGTCTTTTCTCGAGGTTCTGGAGGGAGTCCAACTGTCAAATGTTTCTGGTGGGAGAGAAGGTCTGTGCAGGCCTAAGAAAAGATAGCATAACATTCTTTCCATAACACCTGGATTTACAGAAACATTTAGCTTCTCAGCCCAGAACTTTTTCCTCCACCTTAACTTAATAAACACCAACCTCTCTTCCTCAGGAAATATTATGAAGATCAGAAAAGAAGGATTTTAAGCAAGAAACAATGAAGTCTTTTAATTTTCAATGAGGTAGAGATGTTTTTGTTTTTCTTTTTACATTTTTTTTTTTGAGACAGAGTCTCACTATGTTGCTCTCAGTAGAGTGCTGTGGTGTCATAGCTCACAGCAACCTCAAACTCTTGGGTTTAAGCAATTCTCTTGCCTCAGCCTCCCAAATAGCTGGGACTATAGGCACCTGCTACAATGCCCAGCTATTTGTTGTTGTTGTTGTCATTGTTGTTTAGCAGCCCCTGCCCATGTTCAAACCCACCATCCTCAGTGCATGTGGCCAGTGCCCCAACCACTGAGCTAGCTATGGGCACTGAGCCTCTTTTTAAATTTTTAAAAAATCCTTTTTATCTTTTAGAAAGAGTCTCACTCTGTTGCCCAGGCTAGAGTGCTATGGTTTCACTGTAGCACATAGCAACCTCAAACTCCTAGGTTCAAGTGATCCTCCTGCTTCAGTCTCCCAACTAGCTGGGATTGCAGGTATACGCACAAGGCCTGGCTAATTTTCTCAATTTTTCTTTTTATATATTTATTTACTTTATTTCAGATTAAGATAAGAATACAAATGATTAGGTTACACAGTTTACATGTGTTAGGTAAAGTTCAAGTTGTAGTTTAGTCCTTTACCCAGGTGTGTCATATACCTCTACATTGTACATGTTAGGTGAGAGCACACAAAACTCCCTCATTCCTCCCTTCTCTTTCTGACACCCCTCCCTACTTGAAGGTACCTGTGTTTTTCTCTCCTTTGAGTGTGTAATTGTTCATCTACTACTTCTATTTTTCTAGATTTTTTTTTAACATTTGGAGTTCATTGAAGGTACAAAAATTAGGTTACACATTTTGTATTTGTTAGGTAAAGTCCCTCTTAACACTGTGTCCCACCCACAAAAGTGTGACATACACCATAACCTCCATCCCTCTCCTTCCACCCTATCCCCAGCTCCCTTGTTCACCTGTCCACCTCCTTGAATTGATTTGAGTTTTTCTCTTATGTGGGTATGTATTAGATTGTCTACTGGCTTCATATTAGAATTGAGTACATTAGATTCTTCCTTCTCAATTCTTGTGATACTTTACTAAGAAGAATGTGTTCCAACTTGATCCAGGTTAATACAAAAGATATAAAGTGTCCATCTTTTCTAATGGCTGAATAGTATTCCATTCCAGCTTGTTAACTCACTCCTAGGTTCACAAGTATTTAGGTCACTTCCATAGCTTGGCGATTGTAAACTGAGCTGCGATAAATAGTTTCGTATAAATGTCCTTATGATAAAATGATGTTTTCTCTTTGGGATAGATGCCTAGTAATGGGATTGCAGGCTCAAATTGGAGGTCTAAATTCAGTTTTTTGAGAATTCACTATACTTCCTTCCAAAAAGGTTATATTAGTTTGCAGTCCTAGCAGCAGTGTAAAAGTGTTCCCTTTTCTTGATATTCACGCCAGCATCTGAGGTTTTAAGATTTTGTGATGTGGGCCATTCACACTGGGGTTCGATATCTCAGGGTGGTTTTGATTTGCATTTCTCTGATGATAAGGAATGATAAGCATTTTTTTCAAATATTTGTTAGCCATTCTTCTATATTTATCAGAGACAGTTCTATTCATATATTTTTTCCAATGGTGGATAGGATTGTTTGTTCTTTTCTTTTTGACTAATTTGAGTTATTCATAGATTCTAGTAATCAAGCCTTTGTCAGATTCATACCCTGCAAATATCTTTTCCCATTTTGAAGGTTGTCTTTTTGCTTTACTTGTTGTGTCCATAGCTGTGCAAAAGCTTTTCAGCTTAATTAAGTCCCATTTGTTAAATTTTATTATTGTTGCACTGGCCAATGAAATCTTTGTCATAAAATCTTTCCCCAGGTCAACATCCTCAAGAGTTTTCCCCACACTTTTCTCTGAGATTTTTTTACCTTTTCATGTCTTAGATTTAAATCTTTTATCCATCTTGAGTCAATTTTTGTAAACGGTGAAAAGTGTGGGTGAAGTTTCAGTGTTTTATAGCCAGTTCCCCCCAGCCCCATTTATTGAATAGGGATTCTTTTCCCCAGTGTATGCTTTTGTTTGGTTTATTGAAGATCAGAGGCAAAGTAGAGACTGGCTTCATCTCTTGGTTTTCTATTCTGTTCCATATGTCTAGGTCTCCATTTTCATGTTAATATCATGCTATTTGATTACTATGGACTTGTAATGTAGTTTGAAGTCTGGTAGGGTGATGCCTCCAGCTTTGATTTTATTACTAAGAATAGGCTTAGGTATATGGGTTTTTTTACAGTTCCATAGAAAACAAAGTACTATATTTTCCAGTTCTTCAAAATATGATGTTAGTATTTCAATGGGGATTGTATTGATTCTATAGATTGCTTTGGGCAGAATAGACATTTTGACAAAGTTGATTCTTCCAGCCAAGAGCATGGTATGTTCTATCATTTGGTAATGTCTTCTGTAATTTCATTTCTTAGGTTTTCATAATTCTCTTTGTAAAGATCCTTCATCCCTATTGTTAGGTATATTCCTAAGTATTTTATTTTCATTGAGGCTACTGTGAAAGGAATTGTGTCCTTGATTTTGCTTCTCAATTTGTATGTTATTAGAATATATATAGGCTACTGATTTGTTACTGTATTTCCTGATCAGTTCTGGGAGTTTTGTGGTTAAGTCTCTGGGTTTTTCTAAGATCACATTATCACCAAAGAATGAGTGTTTGACTTCCTGTGCCCCCATTTGGATGCTGTTAATATTCTTCCCTTAACTTATTGCATTGCCTAGAACTTCTAGAACAATGTTGAATAATAGTGGTTATAGTGGACATCCTTGTCTGCTTCCAGTTCTAAGTAGAAAAGCTTTCAGTTTTATTCAGTTCAGTATGTTAGCTGTGGGTTTGTCACAGATGGCTTCAATCACCTTAAGAAATGTGCCCCCGATGCCTATTTCCTTAAGTGTCTTGTTAGAAAAGGATGCTGAATTTTGCCAAATGCTTTTTCTGCATCTCCTGAGAGGATCATATGGTCTTTGTTTTTGCTTGTATTGATACGGTGTGTTACATTTATAGATTTGTGTATGTTATACCAGCCCTGCATCCCTTGGATGAAGCCTCCTTGAATGTGATAATTTTTTAATGTGTAACTGCAATCTATTAGCTAAGATTTTGTTGAGTAATTTTTCATAGATATTCATTAGTGAAATTGGTCTGTAGTTCTCCTTTTTAGTTGGGTGCCTTTCTGGTTGTGGAATCAAGGTAATGTTTACTTCATAGAATGTGTTGGGGAAGGTTACTTCCTTTGCAATGTTTTGAAATAGGTTCTGCAGTATAGGCACAAGCTCATCTTTGAAGATGTGATAGAATTCTGATGTGAAGCCATCTGGTCTAGGACATTTTTTTTTGTTGGAACCTTTGTTGTTATTTTTGCCATCTCAGTGCTTGATATTGGTCTTTTCAAGAGATCTATTTCTTCCTGGGTAAGTCTAGACAGATGGTATGCCTCCAAGTATTGGTCCATTTTCTCCACATTGTCAAATTTCTGGGCATCGAGGTTTTGGTAGAAGTCAGAAATAATCTCTTGTACCTCACTGGTAGCAGTTGTTATTTCCCCCTTCTTGTTTTTTATTGATGTTATTAAAGAGTTTTACTTTACTATTTCTGGTTAATCTGGCCAATGGTTTGCCAATTTTATTTATCTTTTAAAGTACCAACTTTTTGTTTCATTAATTTTCTGAATGATACTCTTATTTTCAATTTCATTTATTTGTGATTTAATATTGGTTATTTATTTTCTTTTGCTAAGTTTGGGATTGGATTGCTCTTCCTTTCCTGTTCCTTGAAATGATTCATAAAGTTGTTGATGTTCATTAAGTTGTTGCATTCTTTTTGTTTTTCAGATGTAGGCAATTGAATATGATGAATTTTCCTCTTAGGACTGCTTTTGCAGTGTCCCCCAGGTTTTGATAGCTTGTGTTGTCAGTGCTGTTATGCTCAAGGAAGTTAATGATTTCCTTTTACATCTCTTCCTTTACCCAACTGTAATTCAGCATAAGGTTGTTTAGTTTCCATGCTTTTGTGTGGGGATGAAAATTTTTGTAGGGGTTGAATTCCACCTTTGTTGCCTTGTGGTCTGAGAAGATACAAAGTATAATTTCAATTCTTTTGTTTCTTTTAGGGTTTGATTTGTGTACCAGGATATGACCTATTTTGGAGAACGTTCCATGGTACAACTAGAAAAATGTATGTACTTTACCTTTGGGGTGGAGTGATCTGTATATGTCTATCATGCACAGTTTTGGTTTTTTTTTTATAAGACTCTTACTTTGTTGCCCTTGGAAGAGTGCCATGGCATCATAGGTCACAGCAACCTCAAACTCTTGAGCTGAAGCAATTCTCTTGCCTCAGCCTCCCAAATCACTGAAACTACAGGTGCCCATCACAATACACACCTATTTTTAGAGATAAGGTCTTGTTCTTTTTCAGGCTGATTTTGAACCTATGAACTCAGGAAATCTACTTGCCTCAGCCTCCCAGAATGTTAGGATTACAGACAGGCATGGGCCAGTGCTCCCATCCTGAAGCACAGTTGTTCTAGGGTCACCGTTAAGTCCCTCGCATCTGTGTTTAGTTTCTGTTTAGAGGATCTATCCAGTGCTGTAGGAGGAATGTGAGAGTACCCTACTATTATGGTGTTATAGGATTTCATATTGCTCAACCTAACTAACATTTGTTTTGCAAGTCTTGGAGCATTTAAGTTGGGTACATAAATATTTAGAATTGAAATGTCTTCTCGTTGTATTGTTCCCTTGACCAATATGAAGTGTCCATCTTTGTCATTTTTTGAT